TCGAAAAACACAAAATATCTCATTACTGCTAATTCCCTTGAGGAAGGAATTCACCCACGTTGGTTCAGTGCAACCAGCCGAGAAACGGGGATTTGAGAACAACAGGAACAGAGTGCTATTTTTGCGTGCTGGTACCAGAATGGGGGAGAGGTACAGCCATTCTGTGTGCTGCAAGCGTCTCAAGACTGCACTTACGCCTTAACGTACTTGATAGTTAAGTAATCGCGTGATAACCAGCCTTCATTGTAAACCGAAAATTTAACATCCGGAAAATTATGCAAGTTGTATTGAACAACATTAGCTCACCTCATTCACAACTCATCGGGATGTGGCAAGGTAGCAGCAACAGAAACTCAAAAAGTGAAAGATCTCTTGAATTTCAAAACATTTGGCCGGTTACATGCCATGAATGCGAAAGCCGGATGATCAAGGGTCTGGACCTTATGGATGACGACTATGAATTTCCCTGTAAGACATGAAAACCAACAAATGGATCATACAGCAACTTGTATTTCACCGCGCCCGTCTGAAAAAAATGGCAGAGCAAACACTAAGCATGTTGATCACGTACGGTCTGAGCAAATGGTTCGACCAGGTTCGTTTCAGGATCAAGAATGAGAGAAAGATGACGACAGTGCTGCAAGACCACTGTTCAATGAATACAGCTGAACACCATCGATACCAGGAGAACTGCGCAGCACCATAGAATGTGGTGCAGAGGAACAGCTTCGTAGTGCAATCTACGTTGTGAACCGAGAAGCGGACGGAAGATGATGAAGCAATGTAAACTTATATGCCTATGGCGTCTGAGAACAAGCGATTCGTTCCATATCCACATAAGGTTGAGTAGATCTGTTTAAGGTGCACGATTCCGGATCCGTTGTCGCAACCGCATCTGATTTAATAATCCGTGTGAGGCTACCAAACCAGGTCGATGCTAAAATGTACGTTTCCCACCTGGTGGCGTCATGCTGTGCCACAAGTGCACTATCAACCGACAGCGAAACGCGTCGCAAAAACTTACCATCTATTTTGATGCCGTCAACTATGCATAAGCAAATTAGGTATGGTTATGAGGAGCGAAAATATATGCACATATTAGAGAGCGAGCTGAACGACAGCTGTAACGTGAGTTGGTAGCAGCGGACTGCTTCTTAATGTAGTAAAAGTTATGCACGGGAATGCGGCGTTGCAATAAAATGAAAACGTATCGCAGACAATTTATTGACACCATGAATCAGCATCACTACGGACGGATCTTTCCTCGATCCTTTACTCACGTCAGGAACAATGGCAGCTGGTTGCAGGGGACACAGGAGTCGTAGAACAGTTAGAAACATCTGTAAGCAATTACTTCTGTAGACGTCGACTGAGGGAACCATCCTCATCCTTTTGAACGGCATCCCGACACGGTCCATGGTCGTCGAGGTCCACATGTTGCGGCAGTGGCGGCGAATCATTTATCCGCTGAGCACAGATCAGGTTTATCGATATTACGCCTGTCGGCATGCCGCAGATCTGTGACAGATCCGATCAGGTGACACTTGAAATGGCGAGAAAAACGCACAATATGTGTCATATCGACGGCAGAGGATAGACGACGGGGGTTTCGGTTAGAATCAAATCAGGTTAGATCGCCTCATCCTCAGCAGATCAACTCTGACAGACCGGTTAGTGAGTTTCACACTATCGATTTGAGGAACAAGTCAGCTTCATGTGCCAGCAGTGGTCAAGAAAACTAGCCCCAAGAAGTGTGGCTCAGGTAATGAGATCGCTTCGGTTGGTGGACAAAAACCGTGGTGAATCGCAAACCGACGACTATCTGAGCAACGACGGAAAGACCGACTAGCCGAATGCCGTGTTTACACAGTACGAAACAAGCTGGCAGTTGTTTGCGGTACGCGTTTCGGCGGCAAGGCAGCAGTCTAGATGCTGCTATTGCTAAAAGGCTCGTCAGATGATTCGATAAGACCAAATCAAATTACTCGCTTCATAGTCAAGTGATCAGGCAATAACATTTTACTCTCTCGAGGAAAAATAAGTGGTGAGAAAATTAAATACGAATGACCGACGATCATGCTCATCGGAATTTTTCGATCCACTGGCTGATGAAGGCCTCTCCAAGACCAGCGACAATTTGGACCGCATTCTAAGAGAGAATAGTTGCAAGATGAACTGAAGAATTGTACTGAATGAAGATGGATAAAAATGGCAGATGGCGGAAGTTTATGGCAAGGTACTGGAGAAGCCTTCATTCAGCACTGGATTGACAAAGGATGATACGATTGACGAGCTCTTTTGATTATTTGCCTGAAACTCAGTAGGTAGACAAACCAGCAATGTCTAGGATCGAAATAAGATGTTCAATACTCTTCCAGTTTCCCCTGTCATAGGCAGAAAAGGAATTAAAGATCTCTTCAAGCTTCGAAAGGAGGTCTCACTAAGGTGAGGCAACTCGTACAGATAAGAGAATTGTTTGTGGGCATCATCCGTGTCTGTGCCTGAAGTGCACGAGACATAAACGAGGCATTTGTTCTTTTCGACGGTTTTCTGAATTCAAACTTTCGACGATAATTTTATGTACTCTGTCACTCAGTTTAGATGATCGCTCAACTTTTCATGTCCCAGAGACAGAAGTGTAATTTTGCATCTCTAACTTTCCTGATCCTCTGTCGAAACAAGACAAACTGAGTTTTCAGTACAGTCCGTCCCTTGACTGTCACTGGGCCTTTGGACGGTCGTTTGAGCAAGTAGTTGCTTCTCCGTCACTTCTGCAGAAATTAGACCGAAATCCCCAAACCATCTCTCTCAATATCGGGAAGCACTGACTGCGTACCAAGCTACCGTCAGAGGTATGAACTCCGGACCATTTCGAGAAGCGCGCCTCGATCAGCCTCAAAAAGACCATTATAGTCGTCTGTATCGGATGTTGTCCGTCGGTCAGTCAGTTTCGATGACCACAAACCTCTTCGGGTCGCGGAGGCTGGCCTGTCGGATAGCGTTTTCAACCTTGGTGGTCCCTTGATAGCGTTTCAGTTTACGCAGAAGCCAGCCAGAGTCTGGAGCACAGACCTTCAGTACACTTACCACAAGTTATTTTTAGCAATCTTTAGACTCTTCGGCAAGTAAGTTGGAAAAGTAGTAGCTCTTTTGTCTTCCGTTCTGAATGCATTCATAAAACGTGTCCATGCCATCTCAGCCAAGACTTTTCATGACCTGAAGATGACGCCGTCGTACACTAAACCTGTCTCAGTTATCCGTACTCTGGAGACCCATCGAGACTCATCAACCGAGCGATTCGTTTCAGAAAGCCCATTTAGGTCTGGGGTCAAAGTTTTTCAGTCGTGGCCTGCAATTCATGACCTTAAGTGAGCATTACAACGAAGATCCACTCGACCACGGAGAACTTAGCCTTGAGACTCAGCTCTGCATTGGTCACCTCAATTCGAGCTAGAACAGGAGGAACGTCGCCGGTCATTCCAACTTTGCGCTAGATCACATCTTTCCATTTCTCACCATCAGTAAAATCGAACCTATTTGTGAGCGTGTCCACGTGCTGCACTAATCATCTGAAGAGAGCAATAGTCCGGAAAACGAGAAAGCAATACGGCTTTCTACTTAGACGCGTTCACACGCGTGTCGGCCGCCGCGTCGCACTCGGCTGCGAAACTTTTTAGGGGGCAACGTATATCAGTTTCAGAAGATGCCATTGAAACGACATCGTTTACAAAAAACCAACCATCCATGTCCCCTACGCTTATACACTCGATGCCACGGCTTCGCCTCATTGCCATATTCATGTGCAACACAAACAGTGGAAGACGCAGAACGCAGCCTTGGTGGAGACCAGTGCCAAAGCCAATGGATCTGGGCTAAACGCCATTTACGCTGACACAGCACAAACTATGAGTATACGGTAACTGATTAGCAATCGATTACAGATATTTCGACTCACGCTCACAGCGTGTTGCACGGAGTCCAAGCGTGGGCTTTCACTAGCTCCACGCAAGGCGAAGATCTTGTCGAAGATGTTTCGGCTTGATCTGAAGCCACTCGCTGTTTTATTATCTAATAGTCAGTTATTCCCCAGCAACCCCTTAATGACAAATTTGTATAAACGATTGCAGGGAGGCACAAAAGGCAATGCGTTGATGATCGGAAAACTCTCGATAGTCTCCATTCTTGAACGGGAGCTACAACCGCGGTAGAACTCCATTGGTATCTTTCCCGTGGCCATTGCAGTTTCAGAGACACGCATCGTCCACAACATACCTTGTTCATCCAAAGCTTTAAGCATTTCAGGTAATTTTCATCAATTCCTCCAACGTTGCCACTTTTCAAGCTTTCACCAGCTTCTGTGAATTCGTTCAATACTTTTGCCTGCTGGTTCAGTACGAGTTTTGCTGTGGTTGCTCAGGGTTAAGATGTTATTGAAAGTGTGCCTTCATCTTCAAGGTATGTGTTCTTCCTTCGAAACCCTTAGACTACCCTTCTTTTTACCTCAAAGCCGGTGGATGGCGTGACAGTATATCTTGCCTGCAATCTGGAAACGCGAGTCCAGATTATCACGGAATTTTCCTCAGGAATAAACTTTTGGTTTAGCAAACAATTTTCGCCGCCGGCTTGCGAGCTTCTTCATAGAGCATTCGAGACGACGGCTCTTAGATTCAAAATCACCTCTGGAATGCGGCCTTCTCCTCGCTTCACTCGGCTAAACCCCGAAGTTCGCATCTGACCTACAAACAGCTGGCAAACTCATTTCATACCACAGCATTCGACCATATGAGCCAAAGTTAGTCGCTCTTAGTCGGTTTCCACGTCAGACGCCGTCACTACGATCTGTTGAAACCGTCCCGCCGTACTGTTTGCAAGTTTTACCCTCGTATCCATAGACGAGAGTGCTTATCATTTGATTCTCCAATGGTGATCCATCGTTTACAGCGGAAAATGCCAATAGCAAAGTGATAACATGTTGACATCTATGGTCCTCTCTTAACTCAGACGATACGATTATCAAATCGATCATGGACTTTTTTGCACTAGCTTCCCGGTACCAGGCGTACTGGTGCACTTTTCGATGCTCGAAGAAGGTGTTCATAATGGACATAAGTTTGCTGAGGTCGCTAGGGCCGTTTTCTCCAATCACGCCGTTCCACTCTTTAGCGTCTACTCCGACATGCGCATAGAAATTGTTCATGACAACGATGGATCCCGTAGTCGGTACTTTTGTACAGAACACCTGGCACTTCTTTCAGGTCAGACTCATATTCTCCCTCTGGATTGGCGGCATAGATCAATAGCAAAGTCAAAACATTACCTTGTTGCAACCTCAGCCACGTGATTGTCGCTGATTCGCTGGTAGGCTTACATTCAAGGAGTCTGTCACCCAGACTGGGTCATACTAGGACACCAACACTGGGCTTGTGTGCATATCGTGAAGTCGACACCTGAAAAGAATTGCTTATACCCTCATAGGCTGAAATGTGTTCGGAGCCATATCGGTTGGTGAACGATGGTCCAACCATATCCGGTGGGTACCTTTCGGCCTGATCAACTACAGAAATTTTGTTTTCTTCTGAGTGAAGAAATGTTCCAGTTTCCGGCTGTGAGTTCTGACCTCCAGCATCGTTCTTCCTACGGAACTTAATCTGACATGCTGTAATAGCGTTGCGCTGTCTACCTCCTCCGTTTAGAACGGTTAGTGGCTCCATTGTTGAGTGATATGTCCGCCTTATTTTTATCTCTCGTCTGCATTCGTCGCAGGCACTTCCTCAGCTGTTGGAAGTCACGAAGCAGGTCGTGATAGCCAAATTTTCGCAGTCTACGTCTGTTGTTGAACGGTCGTCGGTAACTCGGCGACGTCGGAGCCAGTACAACTTCCGATAACTGCAATTCCTCAGGGGCAGGTGGCTATGTTTTACTGGGCACCGTCATTCTGCCAGTTTTAATGGCCGTTTATCCTTTCGTTTAGCTGAGGCAAACGAGTCAGGCAGTGCTCAACGTTCCCGATCGAGTGCTAGGTTTCAACTTGGCGACAAGATCGCCCGAGTCTGGAGCGATGATCTTCCATACTCTTGTCTCAGGTTATTCTTGACCTCTGCAGGGGTCTTCGGCGGTCAATTGGACAAGTAACGGCTATTCAGGCATTCGCAGTACATTTCCATACCGTCGCAGCTTGGACACCTCACTCAACTCGGTCGTGCCCGTGGTTGGCCATGTTTTTTGTCTTTACAAAAACCACGGATATTACTTGCGAACGCTGTTTTATGGTTCTGGTAGCGACAACCAAGTTACGCCAATGTGCTGTTTGCAGACTTGTCGAAACTCGATAAGACACGGCGAAATACACAGGCTGCACGACTAGAAGAAACCTGTTACAGGACACAACAGGCTACACGACGTGTGTTCTTCTGGTCGCAATAACATGCCTGTCGCCGGCTGCTGCATGTCTTAGCCGGGCTCGACCAACTAAGCAATTTAGTCTTGGTCTGGTCGTTGTCGTCGCCTAGGCTGTTGTGCTGTCGAGGATCGTCGCCAGAGGTCGCTAGTCTTCCGGTCAAGAAATGGTCAAGGGTGAGATGACCGAGTTCAAGGTCTACGGTCAGCCGATGATGAACCTCGGCATCTACCAACACAGCGACCCGCTGGCCATTCGCAAGCCCAGCATCCAAATCGAGTTCAGGAAACAGGAGGGCATCGCGGCTTTGCGCAAGACCACGTTTTGCAACACAGCGTGTGTCGGCCGCACCGAACGAAATAGTAAGCATTAGTTAAGTCATAGCTGCTACGGAAAAATTAGACATCGTTTCGACGGATACAGTTTCTTAGTGAACATCACGTTGACAGACCCATGCCTCACACCGTAATTAGAGTAAATGATCAAATATTAATGAGTTTAATTCGTATTTCAATAACCATAACTTTTGGCTTTTTCTCGAAAATAGAACATTATCGAGATAGCGGATGATTTATGAATCGCAGATCGAGGATATCGACTTGTAGCTTTATATCTTGAGTGCCTTCAATCGTGAATTCAAATATAATGAGTTTTTCTTGAGTGCCTGATATTAAAGATACCGTCATTATTAGCACGCCATATTTTGACGAACATACGTAAACATACAAAAAGTTTTAAAATTATTCCTCTGTGACATCAGATGACATCCAATCAACATTGTGTCATTATTGGTAGTCAATTAAGCAGTCTTATGGCTCAAGCTCTTCCACAACGCTTTTAATCGACTACCCCCCCCCTCGAAACCGTATTCTGTCTGAAGATTGATGACTTGGCTAGCTTTGGTGGTGGAGCGCTTCAGAGAACTTTAAACACGGTTTAGCGATTACGACACTGTTTGTTCAGCAAATAACTTTTTGTCTGATAAATTATTGACTAACCGTGCTTTTCTGTAGGCATTATTCACGGAATTATAAACTGCTAGTTGCGTCTCGGCTTTGATTATTATGTTTTCCTCCATGCTTATTTACAATAACAATTCTGCCGTCTATGCTACTAGTCCCATTTCATTTCGCGCTGCTGTCTACGCACTAGATAATTAGCATCATAAGCCGTAAATTGGTATTCTTGCCAAATATGCAAAACGTCCTTTCATATGATTGTGTCCTCGATGAAGCAGCGGTAGACGAGGCGGTTAAACTAGTCGCAGTCTGGTTTTAAAGTTGTGGAAGTATTGAAAATGATGCATTTTATTTTCCATGACAAACAAGAACTATTATGAATCCCTCGTAGAGCTGCGCAAACAATTTTCCGGTTGGGCGCCGGCCAAATGTTAAAACGCAGAGGCGTCCGGAAAACACAACGAAAAGGGAATCAGATGCAAGAAAACGGTTAGACTGGTCGTCTCAATGACGGTATCGATGAAAGACGGGATTTTCTTATAGACTCGGTTGTTTTAAATGACGAAAGATGGAAAAACGACGTAGGGCAAATATACGTGCGGACGGCGGGAAGGGTGGCAAAGTCAAATAGATGAAAGGATAGGAAAGAATGAAGACGAAGAAGAAGAACACGGGAAAACAAAAGAGAGGGATAGATATAATAAGGGAGAGGGAAATGGTGAAAGCACGACGAAGCGAAAATGCAAAACTTCTCCTTTAAGATAATATGCTTAACAAGCCAAATCTGCGCGCACCTCACAAAGATTTATAACTCCCTACTGTGCATTGATTCCCCAGATTGAGAAGCCACAGCTGCGATGGTTTGGGCATGTGTTGCGAATGCCTCCAGAAAGGAAGGCTAAGCAACTGTTCCTTGC